TAGCCTAGACTACAATGCTGAATGATGACGACAACGGCTTTCCCGAAGTACGAGCATACGGCGACCAATGTTGCATGCTTCCAGCACCAGGTATGTCTCTCGCCTCACTCACAACCTCGTTCCCCAACATACAGATGCCACTTGCACCCAAGGACCACCCAGCTTACAGCCGTCTATGGCTGCCTGCTTCTTCCTGCTCGCCCGTGAGCGCGTGAGCGCCAGCGAGCTTCAGCGCAGCAGTGCTTGCGCAGCATGCAGCCAGCACCTGAATGCCAAATGTGGAGGCAGGCTCTCTGCTATATGGAAGTGGCCTGCCCGCTTGCTGTCCCAGACTGCGCTGGGCCTTTCCCAAGAAGCTTCCGGTAGGCCCCGGTAGGCTGAGGCACAGTCCACACAACTCAGGCCCTGGGCCTGTAGTGGTTGCTCGCGCCCAACTGTCAACGGCCTGTGTTAGGCCCACATCCCGTATCCAGCCCAGGGCCTGCCTTCGATACATTCAAAAAGGCTGCCCAGGGTGTGGGTTCTTCCAACCAACTGGCGCTGCGCAACTGCCTGAATTTCTTGAGTTGCGTGGTGACCCCGAAATAGGAGCCACAGGCCCTCGTCGTGCCTGCCTTCACTTAGGGCGGCCGACATGATACTTGACAGGGCCTGAAAGGGGCTCATAGGGGCATAAGCCTCGCACCTATATGCCCAGACTATTTGATGTATGCGGTTGTGTTCTGGAGTGTCCATCAAGAGTGTTTCCTGGACACGTACTACGTCTGCCCAGTTTCTGCCCCCCACCCCTCTCATTAGGTCCCAGATTGCATTGTGTTTTTCGGGTTCGCTCGAGGCCAGGCCATTCACATTTACTGACCGCAAGTCTAGGTCTGCTGCCCTCTTGCATTGGTTCCAAATGCGGTCTTTCCCGTATACTGCTTTGACCGGGTCCATTTACTTGCATTGCAATTGTATCCTAGCCCAAGACGGGTCACAAACGGGTCCACGACAGTTGTTCCCATTCCCAATCTGGGGCTCCCACCATCATCCTGAGAAGCGCACATAAGCTTCTCTGAACATCGTGCTCGGTCCAGGTGTCGCTGTGTCTAATCCTGACCGTCTGCAGGTTTAGCAGTTGACTGTAGATGTGCCATCTCAGGCTATTCTCCTTGGTGGGATCGAAGCGTGTATGTATACGTCCCTCTGCGCAATCTTGGTGGGGCCTGTTGTAATCCCAGCCATAGCCTGTGCCCCAGGCAGCAAGGCCTCTGCAATGTAGGACTCAGCTACAGACGTGACAGGACTGGTTCTGGTGTGGACTATGGAAGCACCGCATCCAATTTTTGCAGTCGCACTAGCTGCTGCATCGAATGGCACGGCACACACAGATNGGTTCTGGTGTGGACTATGGAAGCACCGCATCCAATTTTTGCAGTCGCACTAGCTGCTGCATCGAATGGCACGGCACACACAGATGCCACAGGCTACATGGCCTACATGCTAGGAGCACGGAGGCACGTGGTGCCGTACACGAGTACAGTACTACTGTCCTCGTACGTATGAAAGCAAAACCTCGCATGGACTATCCCTTCATGATCCTCACGGCGCAGGGCATGCGAACCACATGCTAGTCGAATCTGCGGTGGGCATCACAAAGCGGCGTGGAGCATCTTTCTCAGTACTTATTCCTGTGTGACTCACTGTCTAAGTGTGTGCAAATGTGTGAGGGTGTTTGAGACTGACTGAGTGTGTGCCACGGCCTGGGTCGGATTGAGACGTTGGACACTGTTTTAGAAGTGTGTTTCACTTCATTTCTCGGCAGGTTCGCCCCCAACACCCTAAACCCAAACCCAAAAACAAAAACAAAAAACTATGCATACACGCATTTTGACTCCTGAGTACCTTGCCTCTACTTCCAGTATTCAACCTTTCCACAATTACTGCTGCTTAAAATAACCTTGCCTCTACTTCCAATATTGCACCCTTTCACCCCCTGAACTCTCTCCCCTCAACACCTCTTCCCCTCTTTCGACCGTTACTCCTTAAAATAACCTTGCCTCTATTGCCAGTATTGCAACTCTTCACCGCCCCAACCCCCTCCCCTCAACAGCCCCTCCCCCCCCTCTTTCCACAATTGCTAGTACTTCAAATAACATTGCCACTATTGCCAGTATTGCAACCTTTCACCCCCTCAACCCTCTCCCATCAACACCTCCTCCCCCTCTCCCTCAGAAGCTCTCCTCCTCTTTCCACACTTATGTTGTCTCTATTGCCAGTATTGCAATGCTTTATCCCCCCCAACCCTCAACCCTCGACACCTCCTCCCCCCCTCCCCCTATCATCCTTCTTCCAAACCCATTCTCTTCCGGTTTCCCCAATTACTACCTGAGAGTTAAAAATGACTATATTGCAACCGTTCACCTCCCACAATTGTTTCCGCTCAACAACCCCCCCCACTTCCCCCCCATGTGTGTGTGTGCTTGTGTGTGTGTGTGGGTATGTGTGTGTGTGTGTGGACGTGTGTGCATGTGTGCATGTGTGCATGTGGGTGTGGGTGTGGATGTGGGCATGTGTGCGTATGTGTGCGCATATGCGCGCGTGTGTGTGGGCATGAGTGTGCGCGTGTACGCGTGTGTGTGTGTGTGTGAGTGTGTGTGAGTGTGTGTGCGTGTGTCCATGTGTGTGCGCGCACGCGGACAGGGGAGGGGGGGGGGCAACCCCCCTGGACCAATCAATCAATCATGATTGATTGATTGGTTGGTTGGTTGGGGGAGGGTCGCCCACCCCCCTCGCAGCCATCAAGCAATCAATCTTTTTTTTTTTAACATCCATTGAAAAAATAATAAAATAAAATCAATGAATCAATAACTCGATCAAATCAATCAACAACAATTTGAAACAAATCAACCAATCAATCAATCAATCAGTCTTTCCTTCTTTTTTTGTTTGATCCCGACTACCCCACAAAAGAAAGTTTTTTTATGTTTTTGTTTTCCTGGGGGATAGCCCCCAACATGCATCAACCCCCCCCC